ATTTGGTAGTCTCTTCCAAAAAAGTAATAAGAACTATGGTAGTAATAAAACCCAAAATGTATAATAGTCATTGTATAAAAGAGAGGAAAAGAAAGTGCTCTAAATGATATAACTGCATGTATATTTAAGTGTATAAGATAGACAATGATATATCTGAGTTTTGTTGGATCATTGAACAGTGTAAGGAGCCGAGCGACAACCCATTGCTGCCTCCCTGCCTCTCTCTCTTATGGGCACTGCATCTGCCTACATTAACCATAATCCTCTCCTGCTTACGTCACATACCCGGATGTGATGGCGACCCTGTTGTATTCATCCCTTAGCTTCTTCCTATCCCACCTCCCGCCCTTGGCCTATAAAAGATGTGATCACTTCCTGAATAAATGGAGGCTTGATCGGATTATCTCGACTTGCTTTCATCTCTCTCTGTCTCCCCTATGTCTTTTGTTTAATCCCTGTTCCCCCTCCAGGAATTTCCCACGGATTGATCTGCAGGCCAGATCAGAACAGAACTGTTTGCAGTCTCACTGTTTGAATGTCCACTTTATATGCTTTAATTTTGTAACTGAACAAATATTTCTAAGATGACAATATGTAATCCATTAACTAGTGATTTCCTGTTTATTTTTTTTCTGAAATTCTGTATAACTTGTACCCTTTTTCTGTTTTTTTTCTTTTTCTCCTTAAATAAAATTTAAAAAATGGTTCTCCACACATTAAAAAAAAATGAAACACTACACCAAATTATTTGAAACAGAAATTGAACAAATTCATTATGTTAGGCTTCTATATAGTGTCACATGATGGTATAAATATACAACGTTAAAGTATAAAATATGAATCAAATATAAGATCTGCTTTTTTCCTACTAGATTTCATAAAATACAACTATATGAATATATATTCAGTATAGTATAAAAGTTACAAAAACATTATGAATAATTCACAAAATTCACTACTGATGAATAGTATTTTCCACATTTTTTATATTATGGTACTATAGTTGGATTGTGTCTTATAATAGCCATGTGTTGGAATCTTAACCCTAAGTAAGCATCATTGAGAGGTGGAGTCTAATGGGAGATATTAGGTTTAGGCATTCTTAGGGTTTGTGTCTAGATGCCCCCCAAAAGTTTCATGTGGTCATAGGTTGCTATTTTTCAGAAGCGGCTGAATCTAGAGTGTGGAGCTGATTCATGGAGCAGTGTTAGGACTGAGGGTGCTAGGATAAAGGGTGGGTGATTACTAACCCAGTCCACTGATTGGTTTGGCACCACCCTATCCTTGTGTCCCTAGGAAGATAAAATGCAGAAAGGTGTTAAGGCCCCCTTGTTGTTCTGTTACCTTCTCCCTGCCAAGAACGTTTTTGCTCCTCTGTGATGTCCCTCTGCCACGCCTCCCTGCCTTGGAGCCAGCTGATTATGTACTGAAACCTCTGCATACTGTGAGCCAAATAAACCTTTTCCTCTTTGAGTGTCAGGTATTTTGTCTCAGCAATGAGAAAAAAGTAACTATGACTGGCATGGATTAATAGCAGTGTAAAAGGGCTTGAGGGACTTTAGTCATACTTTTCGGCTCTTCTGACACATGAGAAATAGCACTGCCTCTCTTGGAAAGACACAGATTTGAAGGCAGAGGTGCCAGGCTTTAATCTGCTGAAGAGTCTTCCTTGCTCTCTCTGTCTCACCACATGCTTGAACAAAGGAAAGGGCCCTTGTTGACACAGTGAGAATTTGCCCACTTTCCAGGGGAACCCAGTGGGTCTGGTAGTCAGTATTAGACTTCCAGCTTCCAAATTTCAAGACATTAACCTCCTTATGTCTACGCCGGCCAAGTCATCGTGTTTTGTTACTGTAGCTCTAGCTGACCAAGACACACTGAAAATGGCTCGATGTGTCACAGTTCATAGAAAAGCAATTCCTCTTGCAGGACTGTGTATTTCCTTGGGTGTAGGGATATATTTATCCCACAACAAATAATTTCACTTGGCAGACTATAATTTAATCTAGCAGCCCCAAATCAACGGTTCTTAACTAAAGAGCACTGACATGTTTGCAGGGCACTGCTGGCATCTAGAGGAGCACACCAGGGGTGCTGAGAAACATCCAACAGGCACAGTTCAGCCATCTGTCACAAGAAATTGTGCTCTTAAAATAGAGAAATAACTTAAAAAGCTGCATTTCAAATCTCTTCTGGCCTGATGCCAGAATATTTTATAACTGAAGTTAATATTTTATAATTGAAGTTATCAAGGTGAGGCTAAATAATTATTAAAAATTATTTAAAAATTTATTAAAAAATAAGACTTTAACTGTTGAGTATAAAGTATTTCTTGGCATAACTGCATCTAAATTTGTTCTCCTACAAATGTCTAAAAAAATTTCTTATAGTAATAGCACTGGCCAAAAAATGAGAAACTCCTAAGTTAGAATTATACTCAGTTTTTTTTTTTAAATCATGAGTAGATTTTTACTTGTTAAAATTTTAGTTTCATTGGTTCATACTTGCAGTACGTGATGGCTACATTCCTCAAGAAAAATTTATACATGGACATAACACATCATTCCCTTTCCCCTCCTCTCTTTCCATTTCTTAGTCCCTTTCTCTTTTGCAAAAGGTATCCTTATTTCTTACTAGCTAACTTTCACTTTGCTCTTCATTTCTATTTTGGGTTTCTCCCATATGGGAAACCATGTATTATTTAAGTTCTGGAGTCTTATTTAGTCCACTTACACTACAGTCTCAAGATGCATCCATTTTCCTACAAATGACTGAAATATTTCCTTCTTTATGGCAGTGTAGTACTTCATCTGTTGATGGACATTTAGGCTGCTTACAAGATGTAGCTATTACAAATTGTGCAGATATAAATATTGCTAAGATATCTTAAATTATCACAGACTATAAATATGTATTACACTAAATAACAGTTAAATGAGCTTTTAAAGTTACTTAAAAAGTTCATTTTAGATAAAGTACCAATAATAATAAACTTTAACCACTATCATGATATAAGAGATCACAAATATTTGCCATGATCAGAAGTAATCAGGACCTACATCTCTCATGAATCCAAGTGGTTTGCATGCTTTGATGTGATTGTCAACCCTCGAGCATACTCCAAATCTAGTTGTAATGGTATCTTCTTATTTTCAACTGTTTTCTCTCTCTTAATTTCTTTTATAACTTACACCCTTTCCTTGGTGACAATCTTCTTTAACCAACAAAACAAATTGTATTTCCAAAAGTGAACATTTTTCCCTTTGTTAAAACAGTCAAATTAATTACCCAAACAACACAAGGTAAAAATGAAAACATTATCCTATTGATTACCTGAGAGAATTAGATCAATCTGAAATTTAAATTTCAAGTTTAAAGAAAAGGGGGGAAAAGAAGCCTCACTTTAGTATGTCTGCCAGTATAAGACTTTTCTTTTAAAGGGGAAAGGACATTGAATTAAAACTTTAAGTTTAGCTACAAAGCATTTGCTCTGGAAGTAATAATTTTCTCTCACTGCACGTAACAAATGAAGGTCTGATTTCTTATATACATTATGTTTTAAATGTGATCATAACTACCATTGAGGGAGAAAATTAATACTTCTTTCTAAATTAAATATCCAAAATATGTGCTCTCTGGCAAAGTAAATTAGTAGATGCTCTGCGATATTAAAAACTAATGATTTGATCTGAAAATGATGTCATTATTTAATAGGTATCAATATTTGATATTCTCAAAAACACAAAGACATATTTATACAACATACAGACAAAGCTTTCTTCATAATATGTATCTATCTAGAGGGCTATAGGAAACATAAAATATTGTATTATGTAACACAAAATGTGAGTTATAAATGTATATTTATAAAAGATTATTTTGAACAAAGTAAGACATGTCTTTCTTGTCTTTAATACTATTTCTATTTAAGTTTCAGTGTACAGTCATAATAATATGCTTATAGGAGAAATAATCAGCATGGAATCATACAATCATTTACATAAACATTCAATACAATTGTCAGCCATCAGTAACACATGCTCTAAGCTTGTCTATTTTACTGGCATCTTGAGTTCTCAAAACTTGGTGGTCTATAAAGTCTCTTTCATTATTTAATTATGTCTAACAATCATATAACCTATCATTCATAAAGTCAAACATGAAATAATTATAAAGAATATTTTTCACTAGGATTTCATTCTCGATGACTCAGATTTTATTGTGTAGTATTTACTTAACTGGTAAGAATTCTTGACAGATTTTAAGAATTCATTCTTCTTAATTTTTACATGACAGTATTATGATTTGAGTGCACATGTTATTGTAAACTACATACATTGCCATAAAAACACAGAAAATAGTGTTAACTGTGCTTCCTCTTACCTCTCCAAAGTGTTTTCACATTATGAAGATACACTTTCTTTTAAGATAGCATATAAAATAACCATATCCTAAGAATATAAACAATATACATTCTATATTTTATAAAATTTTTACACTATTTGGGAATTACACAACTATTAACAAAAAGCTGTGTTTTGATATGTTTATGAAAATAAAAAGAAAAAATCATTTTGTTTCCAAGATTATCAAATACTTTGCTTTATAGTATATGATTCTGTCTCTAGGCATAGCAGTATGTAGTTAATTCATGCATTTTCTTCCATACAGTGTAGCCTTACCTGTAGAATTTTTGATAATGAAATGTTTAACTTTGGTTCAGTGATTTGTTTGTAGATTTATATAAATGTTTACATATAGTAAAGCATTCTCTTTCCTCTTCAGATTACAGGTAACAGTTTTTCCTTACTGAAGGATTATAAATTTGTTAATCATCTTCAATGTTTAACAGCATTTATAATAATATTATAATAACAACATTTATAATAATTAATAGTATTAGGACTGCATATATTGATGTGCATTACCAGATAAGTGTTTGTAGGAAAAAAAAAAATCTTCAAAGATTTACATTCTGTGGGTCAAATACTGTCACTTACCAGCTCTTCCTGAAGGTGGGAAATGAGTTCGTCCCTCTCTTTCAGTTGTAGCTTGAGCACAGAACATTCATCTTTCATTATATCCTATAAAAACATCAAAGAGATGGTAGAATGGACTTAACCCTTTCACTTTGCTCTTGATAACACAGTCAGCTCCACAACACTGGGAGGTGGTTGCGTCTGATTAGTGAAACTCGTATTTCCTCAACAGTACATTTTTCATAACATATTCTAGGTTCCAAAAATACAAGCTAATGTACTGAAAATTTTATGATAAATTCAAGATTCGTATATCTGCATAAATATGTATCAATATATGTAGTCTTTTTAAAAAACATTTTGGTATTCATTTGTCCATTTTGCTGCCTAAAAAAGCAATAAGCAAACAATCCTTGATTCTTCCTTTCATTTTTGTGCTTCATCAATGGATAGAAACTATGTTTCAGAAGAAATACTTTGTCTAATCTTTATTTGCTGTGATACTATCATTAAATATTAATTCTCAAATCAGTGAGGACCTTGTACCGTTTGACCCCATAGCTAGGAATCTGAGAGCATTTACTCTTGCTCAGTCATGGCCTTTATGTCCACGGTACCTCTGCTCTATGGTCTCTACTACTTTATCCTGGACACTTTCGGACTCAGCTACCTAACCCAGAAGTTTCTGTCATCACAGTTCTTAAATGCACATAGTTACTGACTGACAGTCAGCATTTTCCACAGACATGTGGACTCAACATTTAGCTCACATTTTCTTCCTTCACCTTATGACTTTACTTCTCATTTCCCCATCACCTGGTATCTAAAATAATACCCAGGAAGTCTCCAATACTAATCACACGGAACGACATCTGATGATTCCAAACTCTTAAATCCTCTACATCCTTTATATTTCTTGGACTTGATCCTCTCTATTCCCCAGTAATTTCCTTCAGTAACTGAATGTTTCTTATCCAAATTTCTGCAACAATTTCTAAATTGATTTATTCTGTTTATATCCTTATCACTGTATCTCCCAGAGAGATTTTTCTAAGTGGAAATAAAATCTGATCCTTCCTGTTTTAACAGGCAATCACTTTCTGTTCAGGACCAAAAAAGTCAGTAGTCTTTAGCACAGTGAACTGTATGTGCTATTGCACTTTTTAGAAGGTGCATTTTTATGTCTCCGTGCTTTATGCACATCTCTGTGTTTTACTGTGTTCCCCTTTTCATGTCCCTCTACCCTTTTTACAGTACCATGTGCTCTTAAGATGCACCTCAAGAATGGCCCCTTATCCAGCTGGAAGGTTTCCTTAATGGCCGAGTTGTAGTCCTTTAGGGAAGGAGATACTTCATAGCATCTAAACCATACATTACCTCATACAAAACTTACTGGATGGTTTGCTTGTACCCCAATGACAATAGAGTGACATCCCCCTCCCAATTCATAGATTGCTTTTTAATTATCATACAATTACAATCAGACACAGTAACTGACAAACATAAAGATGCTCAATTTGTGTTTCCTTTCCATAAAACTGTCAAATCAAAATAGAAATATTAAGATAATACCTATATTCTCTTCAACTGATAATTAAAGGAAAGCATCTAAGGTATCTGAGAAAACAATACTTGTTCAGTCTCATTCTCATGGTGTCAACAATTTCTACTTTACATTGAGCAATCCACAATAAACAGCTCTAATTTATTGTCATTGCCCTGGATGATTACCAACTTACTGGAAAATGCTAAATATCTGTGTGTTCTTTATTTAATAGTTCTATTTCTTCTCTAAACTATGACTTTCATGGGAAAAGTCAACATTTATTATGTTTAAAGCTTATGCTTATAGATTCTAGGTATTATTCTTAATGCCAAAAAGTTTAACTTGTTCCATGAAAGAAAGAAATATTAGTTAATTTAGGAGGTTAGTAAGAAAATAAACATTCTTCTCTGACTCCGGGAGATCTAGGCTAAAATCACAGATCCCACAAGTGACTGGCCATGTGGCCCTACCCAGACATATCCAGGAGGCTGATGGTGGACATCAGACTGGAAACTACATGACAACACAACTACTGTATTTTTTTATATTCCAAGACTTTTTACTATTTCACTTAAGAAAAGTTAATTCCCTTCATGAAACAAAAAGTTGTCATTGTTTGGTTTTCCATGAATTCTTACTGAACTGATGTTAAGGATTCAAAAAGCCAAGAGCCAAGAGTGCCTATGAGGTGAATCTCAGGCTGAAGGCCAGTGCAGTCAGCTTAAAGAAGAGCAAGCCTGCAGCCTCCACTACCCTAATACAGCCCTTGCACTGGGCCACCCTAGACCTCTCACTTCAGCTGCAGAGCAAGGCAGATCCTGAAGGAAAACACAGCAGGAAGCAGCCAGCTCTGGGCTGCCAGTCCTTCATGGCCGCGCATCTGAGCGTCAGAGCTTATCCACCACAATCACACTTCTTTAACTGATTATCAACAGCAGCATTTTGATGAGTTAAATAACATTTGGTTGGCTACTAATTATTTAACAGTGGAAGATATGCCAATGTTGTGGTTTCTGGGAACTTTAAAGTAACTTAGTTTCTTAAAACTATGCCCACTGAAAATGTTTTCAGATTTTATTCATGGAGAAATTTTTCAGGAAGTTCACAATCTCACAGCTTCACATTAGGTGGGTCCTCATGTAGCATTTGCATTTATTCATAGCACCACACATACTAAATAACATTTGCGATCAGAAGACAATTTATTAAAACCTCTACAAATGACTTGGGAAATCCAATTAGTTATATACCAGCACTTTACTTTCACTGTTATATATACATGTACCAACATTTAAATTAGGATCTAACATAGAAGATGCAAGTCTTTCAACAACACTCTCAGATAAAAGTCAATAGCAATAGTTCCCTGATATTCTCATTGTATCTGTAAAACTTTGTAATACTGTTAGCAAGATGGTTTTATAGACTTTGAAATCACACAGATGTTTCAGACCGAAGGCATTTTAATATTCTTTAGTTTCAAAGTAAACTTACTGTATTAGACTACAGGCTAGAATAACCAATTTAATTTGAAATTTTTAAAATGTTTGATTAAAAAACTATATAAATTAATAATGGTGATATTTGGTTTTTCGTTCAATTCTAATTAATTTCAAGGACTAAAATTCAATTCTATTATTCCTCTTCCAATAATTAGGTACAAATATGGAAGCCAGCATGGTAGACTAAAGAAGATATATCTCTACTGAAAGGTGGTGTTAACAATACTCTCTTTGAGTTTTGGTGTCTTAGTCACTTGCAAGTCAAACAGAAGATGATGAAAGTAATTCTGTCCCTTTCAGGGTTCAGCAACAAAGCTGTTATAGCTCTGTGATGCTGTCTTGGAATGGATCCTCTCAGGCATTGCTTTGCAGGAAGAACCCACCAGACATGCAAAGAATCACACAGTGCTTTCATCGATGGCTCCCAGTAAGTACTAACCAGTGAGGAGGAGCCATCTCAGATATCCAAAAGGGGAGAATCTTCTCCAATGTGGCTACCATCCTAGCCAGCATCTCAGTTTTCCTAAGAAACCCAAGCCACAATTTCTTGGCTTTTCATTTGAAAAATGAAAATGAAGTTAAGAATTTTCAAATTCTCAACTAAAAATAAATTTTAGTTTTGAACCACTAAGTTATGGATTTGGGGGTGGGCTACTAGCACTTGAAATCATGACCTCATGCTTGCCAGGCAGGTGCTGCACCACTGAGTTATATTCTCTTCCTAAATTTTGAAATTATTTGTTATAGACATCATCAGAATGTAACAGTAAACTCCATCTTATTATAATTGAATTTAATTTAAATGGTGACATATTTGGATAAAAATGTAAACTGTCAATTTTTAAAACATGATCTAATTTTTAAATTTGTGACTTAAGCATATATATTTAGAATGTTTGTGAAACAGTGCTTCTCAAGCATATAAGGAAAATATATTTTAGTATTATGTAAATTGCCAAAAAATCTGAAATATATAATGATTTAGTTTTATATTCGTATTTTAGAAATTTGGAAAGTAAAAGCTAGATACACAGAAACATGGGTAATTTGTTTGAAATTCAGTTTTCTGATGCTATTTTTCATGTACTTTACAATATACTTTTGTGTATCATTAAAATTATCTGTTCTAAACTACAGTGAAAACTGAAATCAACTATCAAAAACAAGTGACATGGAATTTGTCAATTACTTTGAAAATTAATGCTGAAATTTGAAATTTAAATAAAATCAAATAATTTGAATTTTTACATACCTCCTTAATAATTGCTAAGGTAAATTTATGGAACTATCTTTTGACTACTGCTCAGAAAATCATGTCAAATTTGGTATTAGTTTATCAGGATTCTATTATAGGCTTCTGGTATTCTCCCTGGAGGGATTTACATTATAAATTACAAGATGTTTCCTCATTCTTGTAAAATAAAGGCAAAAGATTTAAAATATAGAAAATACTACAAAGGCAGAATTTTATGAACCATTAAGAGAGAAGCAAGGAAAGAAGCTAACAAGAAAGGACACCAGAGCAGAATTCATTATAAAAAAAATTGACAACAACTGATAATATATTTAGTAGCTCTCTCTAAATAATCAACTTCATTTCAATTCTTCTGTTGACTTAGTTTTAAGTTTCCATGTTGTCTGTAATACCTGAGTGGAAACTGAAATAAAAGTAGCAAAGGCAAATAATCATTTACGCTTTTCAGATGCTGTGAACTAGGTCAATAAAAATACTGTTTCAGTGTTTCATTATAGTACCTTTTCCATAATTCATGTCAGCATTAATAACTGCTGCATGGTGTTAAAAAAATTCTTCATCTATAAACATTCAATTGGAAAGGTTATAGAACTGTCTTTACATGCTCATTGAAAAGAACATTCCATTGATTTATTCTATTTTCTGTTCCTTGAATATTGTTTTCACAGAACTGTGACAGTAATAAGGTCTAATATTTTCTGATATCTTTCAAAATTATACTACAGATTGAGCAGCCTAATCTGAAAATCTGAAGTGCTGCATAATCCAAAAATTTGTGAAGCCAGGAGTGGAAAATCCCTGC